TTTTTTTCTCACGGAACCTGCTATCTATCACTAACCATGTATATGGAGGGAAGATAAATGGATAAGCCCATTACTGGGGAATCCAAATACATTATCCAATTTTGGCTTTGGCTTCGTCTTCGCAAAAGACGAGTGTGTCTTCGAAATTCTGAGGCTCTACTTGAAGACATAACAGCATTGCAAACCCTTCACTTTTGTTGGACACTAACCAGTAAGTGGACAGTGTCGGAAAATTATGTACGGCAATATATTGGGGAGAAGATGAACTTGTGCTTGAACTTTGGTATCCCTGATGACCCCCCTCTCAACAAATTGAGCTGGAAATAGTGCTTCATGGGAATTTGTTATTTTGTTAAACTTTTATCTTGAAAACCATCGAAATAATCATGATTTCGTGTTTTACCATACATACATGCCTTTCAAACACTGAGAAAAAATTTTCGATCAAAATGGATGCTGCAATAACCAGAAGTAACACCTCAGGTACCGTACAGGCTCAATCTCCCATGTTTGATTGAAAAAAACCGGCAAATCGGACAAAATTAAAAATTAATATATATGTTTATTTATTATTTATATTCGCGAGGTATGACCAAGCGATGGCATCTGAGTGATTAATCAGTCGTAAACCGTCGCTTTGTCATTTCCAGTTGACCATCGGTTAGCAGCAGTACTGCATATCCTCCTCGCACTTGTGAACATTCAAGTAAATCAGCGAAGTTGACATAGGCTCTGGCTTGAACTTTACAAAACCAACCACCCACTTGCTACAATAAAGATAAGTTTTTTAGGGAGTATCATTTGGAGCCGATTTTGCGGCCATCGGCCTCATCGTCGTTCATTGGGCTTCATTGAAACAACACGGGTTTTTCATCGCGTTATTGTCATCGTTTTCACAGTTATCGGTCATGTTTACGATGCCGGTGGCTGGCGAGGTATCGTCACGCAATAATCATAATTCTATTCCTGAATCTACTGGAATTCCTACGTACAATATTTTCAGCTATGTGAATCCTCGCTGGGGTGGCCTTCCGTATACTATGTGCATTCAGCTCTCAGTGGAATCCTTTTTACTATTTGGTACTACTTCTACAGGTAAATGTTGAGGTTAGGCTAAAGATAAAGTGCAAATAACTTGAAGTATACTTCAGAGATGACCCATCTGAACACGCTTCGATGACCGAAATTGAGCTTGAGAAGATTAACCGTGGTAAGGGAGAGATCAAGTTAAAAGAACCGGCGCCCATCAAGGTAAGCTTTCGCGGACAGTTTGGGAACTTACGGTGCTTCTGCCATAGGGTGAGGCGTTAAGAAAAGCGCAGTGACATGACAGGCGTCAAGAGCGGCGCTATTGACTGTACTGTGAAATTTTTCCATATTATTCATTTATTATTTATTTATCTACTTTTTGGATGCACGCAGCAGTGCGTTCGAACAAATAGTTTTGGATAAAACACCAATGACTGAATCTCGTGCTACCTCTACCTCCAACACTTTTAGAAAGCCTTATATCTCGAAAAGTGGGTGGATTTTCTCTCTTTCTTCGTCGTCGATGTACTGCTATACCGTAATATCTTGATCCATATGAATGTTTCATAAAAGCATGCAACATATATAGCCAATGGTTGCTTTCATAGTTCACGATTTGGCCCGCGAGCGAGCTAGCGAGCGACAGCAGAGATCCATGCTGCAATGCGCTGTGTTTTACCATACCCACATAAACGACATGCCGCTTCCTGATGATTGCTGCTTATCATTAATTAACTGATTTCAGGAAATCATGACCAATCCGGTGATGTGGGCAGTGTGGCTATCTGCGTTCGGTGAACTCATGATGTCACAATTTATAGTCATGTATGCACCTACCTATCTCAAAGAGGTGAAAAGTTTCAACGCTTGATTCCTTTGAGCATTGCAACCAAACTCGATCCCAGTTCACGTAAGACACTACAAAATTCTCTTATGATTTGTTTATTTTATCTGGTAGGGATTCTCACTATCGCGAATAAGATTGAATAGGACTTCAGGGGAATCACGAAGCCCTGCTTGAGATTGCTATGAGTACTAATGGTAAGTTACGAACAAAGAGCTCCCTAGTTCGCAGTATCACAAACAAACACGCGAGTCAAAAAGACGATTTGCTTGAAGTCTCCGTCGGGACTTGCTCGGCCTTACAATCGCTGCACTGACATAAGTGGATTAGCACATGGGAAAAAAAGGAAATTTTCACAAAATCACTGTGAAAGTAAATCAATTGCGGAAATAAGTGAGCAGTATGTATGGTAGGTAGGTTCCGCAGGGCTCAGGAACCGTCGTACAGACAGACGCAACTTAAACTGCCAACTGGCTGTTGGAAGAAAAAAGAAAGTTGGAGCAAGCTTGGAGTAATGGAAAACAAAAGGCTGAAGTGGATGGCTGGGACCTTGCGCTTTGACGGTTCTGAACCTATTGCTGATGAAATGAGTGAAGCTCGCCGGCTCCTACCTAGGAAAGTCCTTAGGAACCCTTAAAGCAGCGCTATTAGTACCCATGAGGGCTTGAAATTAGTGAATTTAGTGGGCTTTTACTCGATTAAGCCTATTTAATCGAAAAAGCTGGAGTCAATTCACCGGAAGAGCGATACTCGCTTTCAAGGGGAACCAACGGTGAAAAAGCAGCAGAAGAAGAAGAGTACGTGGAAATGAGTCCTGATTACACTTTCAAAAAATATTTTATGCCCTGAATTCGATTTTGATAGCAATGATTTGCCTACAGGTTCTTGGATTCCGAGTTGCTCACACCGGTTATTTTGTTGCTGTACCTCGTGCACTTCACTTAGCCTTCAAAATTATTAGCGGTATAGCCAGCGATAGAATTCTGTAAGTCAGCTTTCAGTACTGTTTGAGCTAATCGTTGCTTGATTCGATTAATTGAATTCAGATTCCTAACAGAGAAAACGAAAATGAGATTGTTCAACACCATCGCTCTAATGGTTCGTTATTAACCATGACCCTTTTTATTGGAATTTCATCAAATGCTAGGGTATTTTTTCAGGTTTCGGGAACATTCTTCTGTGTACTTGGGTTTTTACCAAGAGAACTATCTAGCTACGCACTTGTTACACTGCTCATCATTGAATGTTCGACGGGTTTCATATGCGGAGGTTTCTATAAATGCGCTACTCTTGTTGCCAGGTAAACTGATTATTTCTAGTCGATTTCACGTACAATACCGATATCATCCAGGGAGTGGCACTTAGGTCAAGATACCGTTTCATACCAGTTCTCTCAAGAAATTGACTTCTCTGAACGTGCCTTTCATTCCAAGAAGTTGCGTACCTTAGTCTAAACCCGGTAGAGAAGTTGTAAGCATTGTACGTTCTCTACTCTTCCCCTGTAGCTAAATAACAGCTCAACTAAGTAGCCGAACATGGTGGAATTCTGAGAACCAACAGCGAATAGCAGAAAAATAACCATTAAGCAGACCATTGTGGACACAAGTCTCCTCGTGCTTCTCCCCCGTCATTCTCCCTTTAAAGGGGTACACTTCGTAAAAAAAAAAGTGTAAGATGTTGACCAGGAGAAGGAGCTCGTGTGTGCTTTTTCAACTCGTTGGAGATAAAGTTGTACAGAACTATTAAAATATAATGGTCTATAATCAATATCAATATAAGTAATCAGCTGAGTTATTTCACCTGTGACAATCTCAGCTATATACTGCTGATTTTACTGACATAAAAATCTAAACCACAATCTCATTATAAATAACCAGTGTCGAAGTACTGCCATTACAGTACAGTAGAGAACACAATTTGAATCATCCTCCTCACTTCATATTACTCACTTCACTCCGCAGTGCTCACTTTACTCCATTAGCCTACCCACAAAGTGACTACTTTTTATATAAGAAGAATAAGTTGTCCATATCACTACCTTTATCATAATCACAAAGTAACCCGGACGGACAGACCGACAAACCGACATACCGACATACAGACAAACCGACATACCGACAAACCGACAAACCAAGTTACTGCTTTATATATAAGAAGGATATGTCAAAACTACTTGAAATTTGCTTCAGTAATGCTAACAAGAGTATGATAGCAGCTAATAGTACAACGTTTTTTATACAGATGGCACAGATATCAAAACTGACTATAGATACATACATAATGGCTTGCTCTTTGACATGGATTGGTTATATCTGACAGTTTTTGTGCTTTTTGGAAGTAATATTTACAAATACATAGGTAAAAGGTGTGCCACAACTGTGCAAAGAGGCAACTCCAGTCCTCTCCTAGCGGACCTGACTGTTTCAGTAATGGAATATGATTATTCGAAGGTTCAACGATTTAATAAAAATAGGCTAATTATCCCATTTAGATAGAGAGACGATTTATTAATAGTGCATAACCATAACTTGATCAGATATTGAAGACAAATTTTCTTTAGTATATAAAAATACTCTTGGTTTCAAAAAAAAAAACACATTCGAGTGAGAGAAATAGTAATTATTTAGACTTGAATTTTAATATAACTAGGGATTAGCTCAGTACCAACTCTGATTATTTCAGCATCAATGTCATCAGATTTCCTCACTGTGATACTAATACTTCCAATACCAATAAAGTCTCTGTTATATACACAGAAACATCTAGAAATACATGTTCTAATATGGAAACCAAGTCGAAACAGAAATAAGTTTCTTCATTAGTATAACTTCACACTCACTTCTGTCCCTGATTCGAACAATACATCTTTACCCCTTCCTTTTTCCAATCCCCAAACCACTGATGAGCGTCAGGATAAGGTGGAGGCGGTGGTTCATCTAGGGAAGAGGCAAAACGAGCCATCTTCAGTGTGTATGCCTACTATACCCTTTTGAACCGGATCGAAGTAAATCACGCGCCTTTCTCTGACCTCTGTGGGTTTTGTTTGCCCCCAGTATCACGGCGAGAGGGATAGGGCATATCATCCAAAGCTACCCCAAGTGCCTATGGGTTAGTTTAGCGGCGGTCGACCAAACGATCGGTTGTTCCTAAAGGTGGGTTAAACATGTTTAGGGTTATCATGTNGGTTATCATGTCCGTTTGGAGACATTTAGTCTAGGGAACCGGTTTTCTGAAGTTTATTTGTTGAATGAAGGATGGATAATGATAATACTCAGGTTTCCAGGCTCTGAAGAAGGCGATTACGCCGAAACGTAAGTTGATAACAACTTATTTAACATCTTGGCAGCAGGTTTTAAAAAGTCTTATAACATCAATGAAAAGCTATGCCAAGATTCATCGAGAGTCGAACATGGAAGCTTATACCCTTTTGATGTGTTTGCTTATTATTGTTCTTCATGCTTCACTAGCTTCAGTTTGTTACACTTTACATATAGCACAGTCTGAAAGCCTTGAAGCAAGGTGAAGAGGGAAACTCTTGCTTTTATCCATCGAATAAGTATACATTCTGAATTCCAGGCAGCACTCCCACTTCGTCCTGTCACAAATTCAATTCATCAAGTGCCTATCATTGTTTATCGAGCCACTACTAGTATTCCTGATCTGTACGCATAATACTCTAGCAGAGTGGCGAGTGGTCTTCTTGATACACGGAGTGCTTCTTATCGGTAATTGCAATGATTCGTTCCTTGAAAGTCATTCTTCTTTTACTCATTTTCAACCAATTTTCTCAGCTGGAAACATCATTTTCTGCTACTTCGCCACGGATAAACCTGCAGCATTTACTCATGTTGCATCCACAGAAGGACTGGCAGTCGTACCACCAGAACAGCAAAGGTGATCTTCTGCTGCCAAACGCTATGCTTCAAAGACTGTCGGCAGTGTCTTCTGTCAGCCATGAACTTTTCATATTATGTCAGTCTTGTGTTGCTTTGTGAATTTCATCTGCACTTGGGTACTTCAGTGCTCGTCGTATTCGTTTCTTATAACTGGTCTCAGTACAGATAGCTTGAGCATGTGGTTTAAATCATAGCATATGGTCTAAAAAGCTGATAGACACACTCGAAAAGAGCTTAAATATTATAACACATACTTATAATGTCCTTGTTCTCAATGTTATACTTACCAATTACTCACATTGTTGCTTTCCTGCTATTTCAGTCACTTTTGACAATCTGCGAGATTTATTCAACTAACTTCCACAAAACGGGCTGCAAAATGATACCTTTTCACATCTTTTCACTCAAATCTCTCAATTAGATGAACGGTAGGAGAACATCTAAGCTCACAGGGCGCCACTTTCTCATTTGAGCAGTCCTTTATGAGCTCACATGATTTTGGAAAATAACAGGGTAAGGTGAACTTCAACGTTCTTCTGACCATTGTAAGCCCTACCTCCTTTCCTCGGAAGACCCATCAATACCACAGGTCGGTCGTGGACTTATTCTCCCAGAAGACTTCGAACGATTTCGGTTGCAATGCCAGAAAAAGAAAAATCGCTTTACTTGACTTCGTTCTTATGGAGCAAGAGGCCACGTTCACGCAGTCGGTAGACCAGGAAGGGAACAGTGGTAATAATACGCTTTGCATTTCCCGGGGTCATTTTGGGATTAATGCATGAACAGTTGCATAAAGGGGTAACCTGTGAGCCAAGATATTCTGGTACCTCGGCATTAACGAATTGGTGTTCACGTCGTTGTTGCTGCTGCTGCTGTTGCACGTTGTTTAGCTTTCAAATACGACATTTGAAAGCTGACGTGCTATTCTGTGATTTTGTGGTGTGCTTCAGTGTTTTGCTCGTCTGTCGATTGCAACACAAGCTGATTATGATTGTTCAGTATGATTGGAGCTTCTATTGACAATGAATAACGTCCGAGAGCAAATGCGTGAGCACATGGAGCTCCAAGCCACTCTATGGTCACATATTGAACTGTGTTGTGATAAATGCCCATTGATTCTACCCATTACCATGTGTTCAGACCCTAAGTTACATGAACTTCTTGACATAAATAAAATTGACTACGGGAGAATATGTGGATTTTGCAAACACATATTATGCTACTGATGGAGTCTGTTTCCAATTTGAATGTGTAACAAGATCACCGCCCTTAATCAGATCAATGTCGGTCTCTGAGAAATCGGATGTTTCCCTCTCCTGTATAACATGTGCCTGACAGTCTACTCAGTTCACGTCTCTCCTTTCAGTATGAATCTGCATGGCGGACCTTCATAGGAAGGAGCAACCTGCTTCGCATACCGACGTATTTAGAGTACCGAATTATCCGCATGCGTTCACAATTACCGTTGTCCCAAGCCCTTTTAAACCTAGAACACATGGTTTCTCCTAATTTTCATGCTGGAGGCATAAGGCAGAAGAAGAGATTATTTTGGCATCCACACTGCACTGTTACTCTTTACCAAGAAAATCCGAAAGTGTAAAACTACTCACAGAAGAACCTTGTGACTGGACCAGAGTTATACGGTGCGTGGAGACAAGCATGTGTGTGTCGCGCCATCAGGACCCCTTGCCGACGCCTGTTGCATTGGTGGATCGCTTGAGCTGGCAGTCGGGAAGACGTGAAAATGACAAAAGCACGCTCTGCAACGTGGGCACGGTAGGCCTGGCGGTTCCAACGTTAACGCCAGCTGCCTTGAAATGGTTCCGCCCCCACAGTACATTCGGGGAATTCGGGGAAAGTCCAGCGCCGAGCTCCCCTCAAGACGCTGGACGCGCGGTCCTTACGAGCACCAGGCATAGCTTCCAGGTATGAGATGACCGTACGCTCTACGTATATTATAATAATTCCATGTAGTATGTGAATTATATGAGTTTTCGAGATATTAAGCATATGTGACAAAAAGGAATAAACTATCATTAATATGCGAGTAAATACTTTTGGCTGAATCTACTATTATACAAATACCGTGAAAATCAATGTAATTAAATATTATACACATGAAACCACACCATTACCTACGGTGGAGTAAGAACTTGCTTCACCCAGAATGACTAAGCTTTGGCGACGGCGACGAATGAATGATGCAATGGTCCCATGATGCCATAAGCCGACTAGAGTACGCGGCTAAGCATGGTCACATAGCATCCTCTCGCTCTCTGCAGCATCTGTATCTTCCCGGATGTAATGAGACACCAACTGTCCTATGCAGTCAAATGGAAGGCACGACACCGTGTTCTCTGATGACTGCGCTCGAGTCTGTCTCTGCAGACTGACGAGAAGCAAAGCATACCGAGATGAACGCCCATACTTTCACGCTTCTGAAACTGGGAGATGAAGCTGACTGATCTCGCCTTTAGTAACCAACAACAATCGAGTCCTTTCTTTCGCGCCTCCAATGCGATCTGAACAACCGATTTTCACTGCAGGCTGTTTTTGCCGTGACTTTATTTCCGGTTTACTTTTCCTGTCTGATTAAGTGTTCGCAGTAGCAACTGACATTTAGAGCCAATCGATTGGGCTTTGTGTCGTGTCGCAAAGATCAAAGCGTTACCTGCTTTTGATCGTTAGTTTGACATAGAGTCTAACTTCCACGGAATCGGACATTCGTCTCCTCCGCGCTACATTCTGCTTCTTAAAGCGTGGAGAGAGAGTGTGGTGTTCAAAAAACGAAGTTTCAAAATTTTCCCATCCGAAACTACTTCGCCTCCCTTGCGAGTCTCTGGGAAGATTCCGTCATCGACAACATCAATAAAGAACACAAGCTCGTCAACATATGCTCAGTAGTGCGAAATCAGAGAGCCTACAAGAAGCCAGGTGACATCCCCCTTCGAAGACTCTTGACCTGATACACCAGGGTGGATTGCGCGAGCTACAGGCAATTATCATTAAAGCCAGAACTTATGAAGCTATTAAGATAAGCGTTAAAGGAAAATTCTGAGAGATAGAAGAGCAGCGGTTATAAACGAAACCGCCGAGGTCGGCAAGAGCATTCGCAAAGCCTGACTGAGCTTCTCAAGTCAATTACAAGATGACTCCCCATCTAAAGGAACACTTAATGCATCTCATAGGCAGTGTAGAAGGTCACCTACGACTTTTTATTGGATATCGGATCTCTTCGACAGCTACGACTACCTACCTACCTTTCATCTAAGACAAGACGAATATATCGCTCCTCCTGTTCTCCCATCTCTCGACATGTCATCACGCCAATGATGAAGAATGCTACGGCGCCCGGTCCTGACAGGATCAAACCAAACATCTAAAGAGTCATCCTACAGAGTCCTGTCGTCATAATTCTGGCTTGGATCCCATCCTCGTGATGCGTAAAGGAATTCAAAATGACCACTTCATGGAAAATTAGCAAGACAGTGTCGCTGTATAAGGAAGGAGATCCTGACTATATTGACACCTATCGCCCATTCTGCCTGCTGTCTGTAATCTACGTGCTTTTCACATGTGTCATCCTTAACAGGATTTACTGAATGAAGGAAAGCCATGCGAGCAAGTAGGGTTTTGGAGAAGGTTCAGTACAATCGATCACCTTCACACTATTACAAAACTCAACGTATCGAGAGAATACATGTCTTTATGCCTTCGATATTGAAAATACAACAGCAGCAACTAAGCCTCGGATTATCTGTAAAGGTGCTGGCTGAGTTCTACACAGATCCCGCCGTTCTATAAAGAAGTCATCACCAATATGAAGGGAATGGTTCTTTTCGTATCCATTTTGCCCAAACTTTTCAGTGCCACTTTCGAGACTATCATGCGTCATATGGATTGGGAAGACTTGAGGGAGAAGGTCGACGGCGGGTAATTGGATTATCATTTTGCAGGCGGCATCGTGCTTACAATATAGAACGTCGAGCAGATGAAACGAATTCCGACCTAACTCGACAGTGCTTGTGGGGAGATTGGCATAGGTCTGAACTTAAAGAAGACGATGTTCATGGAGACGGATTGGTACCTGGTGCTTCCTTCACGATGTACGGAACGGGTATGCCCAAATGCTCTAGCTACGCGTATCTAGGCTAACAATAAGAAGTCAACATGATGAACGACCTAGCTCCGGAGCTGAGTTTGTTTTCATTCTTTCGAATTTACTTGATTTATTCAGACAGACTGCATCTAAACTGCATATATGTATGAGCCTCCTAAGACCTTTTATCACCCCATCCTCGTGATAATTGTGCCAATCAGTTTGAAGTTATTTCAAAATATTCACAAGTTTCTAGAATTGTGTTGAATAAAAGTAAAAAAATAACAGTTAATCAAGAAAGAAATTTTGGATGGAGTCAAAACTGCTAAGAATTCTTGCTTTGCTCACCTGACTTTTATAGGGTAATTTTTATACAATACCGGGTTTGGCATGGATAGCAACCCTCACCACTGGCAACCACTTGGGAAGCATCGAAAATCTTATGCAGTTTCTCATGACGAGTGCTAGGTAACGCTCCTATTCCACTATTCCTTTTACTTACCGGTCAATAGACCTTATGTTTAATAACTTTCATGCTTTCCCACATTGCGGAGCTTTAGAATCCCACTGATTGTATTGACTTCTTCTCAACAAACCAGTTTGTTAGATGAAAAATTTGCTAGTTTTAATCTTATATTCTGTCGTTTCGTTTCCTTCGGATGGAGGAAATTTCAATGATTGCACAGCACAACTCTACACAATGTTGATGACAGAAATGATAATGATAATGTAACGAAAGCTTCGATCACCGTATTTAGTAGGGGCAGAGGCGCTTTCCACAACATGTCATACGATGTCGTCTTTAAAGACGGACTGCCAGAAGACTGTACATGCCCAATGTGCTACCAGATAAGTTTGTTTCCTCCCTCTACGCTTCGTAATCATTTTTCAAGCGATCAAGTTAATTCTACCAATAAAACTCTCTCGATCTCAGGAAGTTTGGGGAGCAATGTTCCCAGTCCCACAAGGATGACGAACTTCAGGCGAAACCCCGCTCTCGGGCTTGAAAACAAGACAAAAACGACCCAAAACGAAATGTGTTCCCAATGTTTCAAATTTGTACCACAGTACCTTCGGAACTAATCCTTCCTACTAAGATTCATCCATTTAGATGATTCAAGTCATCATCGTGAACTCCTGCGGAACAGCATACCCACCACTGACTGAGTAGGCATTATAGACGTAACAATTCAAGAGCCTTCATTGGTCTTGAAAGTCGAGATCAGGAAAGAGACTAGGGTAGAGTCTCTCGTGCGGTTTGTCCAAGCAAAACACTTCGACTCTGGGTTCCCACATGACAACAAGTCGTTGAAGCGTTTCGTCGTTATTACAGCCATTACCGCGATTCCTAAGCAACCGTTTTCGACCAAAATAAAAACCGTTGGAATCAATAGCTTTCACCGAGAGGAACACATATTTCATATCCCTCAAACTCTACTTTTTTAGGAGGAAATGGGATCGGTCTTGATCAAGACCGTAGCGACTTCTCGAGTAGTTCATGCTCCTATAACTAGGAAAGTTTAGAAATTGCCAAAACAGTTTTCGGATAGATGCAATTATAAAGGCGGGGAATCATCTGATCATTTCTTCACGGCTTTTTCCATGGAACAAGAAACAATGCAATACCACAAGGTAAACAGTGCGGCCCTACGTAAGCCGATTTAAGCCGTTGGTGGAGATGGCATGAAACGAAGTAAAGCTTCCGCTGATGGTCTCCCCTTTCTTCTTCTCCAAGCGCCCCAAATCGTTTAAGATGTTTGCTGAAAACTTTTCTAGAAGTCCATAGACGTGTTTGAATTCATCAAACCGTTAAACTATCGTTTTCAGTAGTAGGTGGATGTCTGCAAGCTTTTTCCATAACAGTCGTCGAACTCGCCAAAACAAAATAGAGGGAAGACGCTTTAGAGGAAACGAACTTGTGACATTAATGTGTGCGGATCCGCTTCCTTCAAACCATCCTACCATAATTTATTCGTAATGAATCATAAGGCATGCCGACTGCGTTATGCTGTAGAGGCCGCAGAGGAACAAAACCAGAACAGCGAACCATGAGCAGATTTGAAGTTCTGACCCGAAGTTGACGTTCAACAACAACTCATCTTTTACTGTAATGATGTATTGGGCAAATCCTGCCCAGGCCTAGGGCTCTCAAATAGATAGCGTGTGAATGTTACAGAACAAAGCTTTTTCCAGGCATTACGAGCGCCGGTCATCGCCCAATGTGGGCACTGCTTCTGCAAGGAATGCATCGATTCCTCCGAAAACTGGTGTGATACTATTAAGAAACAATACTCATGTTAAATAGTTTTAACCATTGGTAATCATAGGCCGGTACATTGTCCAGCTTGTGGAGAAGATATAGCACCAGATTCGCTCAAACCCGACAATGCGAAGTGGCGAGAGGTTGGAGTTAGTCTGTACGAGACATTAAATTCTTTCAGTTCCACCTTTTTTGCACCACCTTTGCACTGCATCCTTTTTTCAAAGCATTTTAGGCAAAATACCCACTTTTCCGATTACCCAGGTTTAATCTAGGAACGGAAGGGCCATGGTAACTGCCCGCTTTGCCATTGTGCCCTGAAAGTGACAGGCAGCCAAAACGATGCTCCCATTCCTTCCCCATTTTATAGGTCCAGTCCCTTCTCGTCGACTGTCCATTCGCGCGGAACGGATGTCAGTGGTGTGGGACTCTCAAGGAAATGCAGGTAGCCGGATACGGTAATCTCGAAAGTCAGCGATTTCAGTACTTTATGAATTGCAGAAACATGCCGATTCATGCTTATACCACGGTGTTCCTTGTCCCAATTGCAAAAAGACAGTTCCCGAACGGGATATGGCAACACATTTGGAAGAATGCGAGAAGAAGATTGGGAAATGCACCTATTGTGGTATACGTTTAAAGGCGACCGGTATGGAAAAGCATTTGAAGGTCTGTTAGGGGAAACACTGTGATTATGAACATATTCGTATCTACTAATACCTACAGTAACTGCCAACTCCCAAGTTTTAGGGGAAATCCATTCTCGTTTTAGATTTGCCCAAGGGTGATCATGAGCTGCCCGTTCCAATGTGGTCTGCTTGACCGAACACGAGAAGAGGTATGATTTCTATGAATCAATCGGAACCTCTAATGAATTCATTGAAAGCAGTGCACAAGTTTGTGCGCTCGCCCAACTACTTGCGCGCGCGGTTGCGTCATGAAACGATCAATAATCGCCGCATGCCTAAGCATAAACGCTCGATTGATCTTATATTGGGGAAATCTATGGTCATTCGAGAAAAAACTATCTATTATTGAGATCGAACAACATCGCCCACTATGTCCAAATATCGACAAATTCTGTCCATTCGCAGAACTTGGTTGTGACTACACCGGTGAGTCATGTTATCCGAACTGAGAACTTCAATCATAGCTCTTTTTGCAGGTGACAAAGAAACCATTCCGCAACATTTAGCCGAAGAACCAGTTCATCATTTGATGTTCCTTTGTGATGCGATTACCGACTTGAAAGTGAGTGTTTGTTCTCATGCCAGGTTCTAAATGCGATATCGAAGCGAAAGGATTGGGCAGTAGCTCATCGTGACCACCTGAAGCCAGAAGGTTTACCAAATGCAACGCGTAGACAGCGCCCAGATCGTTATAAAATAAATTTTTATCAAGAGGTAACCTTCAGAGCTTTCATACAACTGTACAGTCGGAGTGGTATACTACGAACGAGCGTCATCAAAGCCTTTTGGAAAGAGTAAGTTATTTAATGAACATGTATTACAAAATATATTATGTACGATTTCAGCTCCAACACGGGATGAGAATTTGCTCCTTTCAGACTCTTTTCTGTCAAATAGGGAAAGCGATGTGGAACCAAAAAGCATTCAGCCCTGCGTTAGAGCAAACGCAACATAGACAGTCCGTGAAGTCAGCCTGTTTCGCATAGCGAGCAGAAGATCAGCCAGTATCAGAAAAACCGAAAAACCAAGGGTCCCCTTATACCAGATGCGTTCCAGAACCCACTTATTTTCTAGAGTCAACTTTGCTAATTTCTAATCCACCGAGTTTCTGCTCGCGTAATTTCCCGACTTCTTAGGAATTGCTAACTCTTACTCACTCCACCGAATGGATTCTTATTACAAACTTTCCACAGGTTTGCAGGATATTTGAGATTACAGTTTTTACTAAGTCTTTTACAAATAGCGACGCTGCCAGATGTGTTGTGCAGGGATCGGTTCCCGGATTACTGCAGAATTCTGTCATGACCATCTGATTGTTTTTGAGTTGACAAACTAAAATCAAATTTGCAAAGGGAGTGGCTGCTTTCATAGTCCGCCTGCCGACCCGCGAGCACGCGCGCCGGCCGGGGCACAACTCGGCCTATCGGTCAGGATTCAGTTGTAAACAAGGGGCAAGCACCGCCCCCGGCTGCAGGACAGTGAAAGCAGCCCAGTGAGATCACCGATTTGTCCATGTATGACCCATTGCATTTTCTGGGGTAGGTGAAACTACCGCCACATTTTCAAGCAAAAGTCGCTGGCCAACTGCCTCCCCGTAGGAAAAGCGTCAATTCAACCCCAAAGTTGATAAAAAAAAAACAAAATAAGACATCATTTTGAGGCTATAACTGCCAATGAAATGTATGGAGCACAGCTGATCTGGCGGATCGATAATATGGAACAGAAGATGAATGAGGCTAGGGTTAGTTCTTTAATTCCATGTGACTATTTGTAAAGTTATTCTCATTTTTCGATTTCACTTAAAATACCCCAACTGCAGAGTGGTACCAGACCAATAATTCATTCGGATCCATTTGTTTCGGGACGTTATGGCTATAAATTCGTTGCCAGCGCTTGCCTCTTTGGAGACGGTCAATGTGAGTTTCCAGACTTGTTTTCTTGAATCAATATGGATGGGAGAATCCACATTAAAAGAGCAATTGATCCTGAGAATGAATCACTTTCCTAAACCTCTCAGTAATTCTAGACAGGGGGCGTAATGCCGCACTTTGTGGGTATGAAATCTTCCTCAGATTGACACAGTTCTCTATTGTATACTTTTTTTCATGGGCGTCTAATGCTTAGGTTGACACACCATAGAGAGGTTGTTTTACTTCGGTCTAGTTTGTTATGAAGAAATCCCGACTTGTCACCAGCCTAGATCCATCAAAGTTTCCATCCCCTGGGATTTGTTAATTGGTGTCAGACTCGTCTGATTGTGGGAGGCTCTGACTTGTGCATCGGCTGGCCATAGCGTATCATGTTAGGGCCGCATAACACGCATTCAATAACACACTACGATTCTGAATACCATCAACGAGAATAATCATCAAATGCCTTTTTATTTTCTCAGGATTTTTGTTTGAAAACAGTGAACTTTTGAGTTTGATCCACTGTCCCGCTCTGGGATGTGCTCCGCATTCGATAAGTATTCAGAATCGTAGTGGCATAGTGGCGTACTGGAAGGGGCCGTATGTGGCCTACAATGAATTGCGGAGGGCAGCCGATGTACAAGCCAGTGCTTTTATCCTTCCATGGTACCAGCTAACCGTCCTGGGAGAGTTGGAAAGTTTAGTTGGCCTGGCGGATATCGATTCGGGATTCGAACCCGTTATCATGCATGTGAAATAGTGCGCCATTCGCCATTACACGACCTACGCCGCTGTGTAAGATCGGGAAAACAAAATGAAAATGGGAATTAAAAACTGGCAACTCTTTTCTAACAACTTGATCTTTGAATAATCCTTGGCACCTATTTAATTTTTCTAAAAACCTTACAGAACGCCTAGTTATAGGGCCAGAACAGAAAGTCCCAGAAGATAACCTGGAGATTTTCAGATCGTGGGAAGTACATGGCAGTATATGTGACCCTCGTCAGGGGCAAATACGACTCACTTCTTCAATGGCCGTTTGATCTCACTGTTTGTATCACACTTCTTGACCAGGTATGAGGAACACTTACTCATTGCAAAGACCTATTTAGTTCCATCATTTCAACTTGAATACTGTTCCTTACCTTGCAGAACCCGATTTACGAAAACCGATGTGACATCTCGTATCGGGTGGACGCGAGGAAAATTAAGGATAAATGCGAATTTCTTGAACGACCAATGACCGATAGAAATGGCTCATTTGGTGCACAGACCTTTTGTAGACTGGCAGTCATGGACAACTTTATACGAGTAGGTTTTTGAAAATATCACCAAACGCTGAACGAATGGACACCATTCAGGAGGACACGATGTTTCTAAAGATTGAAATCGATGTGCTGAAGTCACATGAACACCTCTTGAGACCAACCTCTGTCGCAAATCCTAATAGTACATCGGCGATAAACGAACTACCACCAAGAACTCCGGTAACCGTATCCCAATCGCAATTACCCGAGACTACTGAAGAGATGAATCTTGGAGCTGAGACGCCTTCGGAACCATCGACGACGCTACCGAGCGAAGAAAGCTTAGAAAGGCCTGCAACGGTCAAGGAATCTGCTCCCAATTCTCCGATCAGTCCGAGATCAGCTGCAGTTCCAATAATTGTTAATGAAGAGAACGAGATTCAAGAAAACGGCGAGATCGAAAAGTCGCACTCCTCAACAGCTCCTGAAGAGGCCATCGATCATCCCGAAGTAGGAACAGTGCGACATGAGCACGAATGACATGTTGACAGCAACTATTTGAGTTTCTGGCAACGAGTAGTCGCAGTTATTTTATTTAACACAAACGCCACTCTCTACTATAGTATTCTTTGAGCGAGGTCATAATTGTGTGGACGGTAAACCTCGATGGTAAGGAGTGAACAATGGCCGAAAAGTATGTGAGCGCTTCACTGCCTACGTTCAAGAAGAAAAAACTTCTAGAATTCGTGTCCACGTAGATTAGGTCACAGCGGGCCCACATTGTGATGCTAGGGTGAGTATCCAGTTATCAATAAAACCGTGGTGTACATTTCATGAGCTAGCCACATTAGAAAGCAACTTGTTGTAGATATTTATAGTGTAAAGTGTGTACAATGATAATGAATATTCATCTAAGAGACGGTCCTTTAGTCTTTAGTTGTTCCAGAACATTCATCGCATCTTTTACTTTTGAGTGGAGATCCTAAACAGAAGAATGTGGAATTTTTATGGAAATAAATATATTTAGTTGTTTTTGTTTTTTTTTTGTTTTTTTTAAATGTTTTTCGGTCAAAATCTTGATATTTTGTCATCTGAATTAGCGAAATTTGCCCAGAAACATCAGTAACGCCAGAAGAGGGAATGCCACACAAGCTACCAGTTCCTATGCAGGAAATCACTCCACTACAGCCTGAGATACTGTAACTGAGTATATGTAACTTTTTCAACGCTGACCAGTTATATAGGTGAGTTCTACAAGACAGCAACAGTTGCGGGTCAGAGAAAATGTCAAGAGGGGAAAAAAGAAGAAACTTTTGTTAATGGGCTTCTTTGGAGGTGACCAACTGGGTAGCGCAACCAGGAAAAATAGAGAAATGAATAGCAAAAAAGCTTCACTCAGTATGGAATGTTCTTGCCTGAAACTGGTTGACATCACAGTGGAACTCTAGTGGTTGCCATTGCTCCTGATAAGATGGAAGCACATGAAGCTTAAATGAGACAACTGGCTCAGAGATCCGGTTCAGTAACTCAGTCTAAAAGAAAATTAGTGTGTAGATCAACATCGACAAGTCTACAAATGAGGGGATTTAGGACGAACCTGAACTACATTACGAACGGTCCACTCCAAATTTACCAGTTCCGGATAATCCCAGCCAACTCTTTCGAGTACGGTCCGTAAATCTTCCACAATTTCCTGAAATTTTAATGGGTACCATAGAAGACAGTGAGAGACAATGAGAGACAGCAATATCAAACGTAATGATTACTATATAATAAACTAATATAAAGGACAGAGAAATACCAGAACTGCTCCTTTCAATGAAACAATTGGAAGGGGTCACTACAATAAAGTAACCTTACTCTGTATCGACAGGACGAGCCAACCAACCTAGTCGAAATATAATTGAGAATTTTTTGAATTGAAATATTTCCTTTTGCCCATGGTCCCTTTTCGATGCGCCGTATAGCTGAGGGGTGAAGATTTGTGTATTCAAATAGAGTGTGCCAAGGAAATGACCTGTTGGTGAAATTCTGCTTTCAATGCATTTTATTTTGCGGCACGTTTGTAAGGCCA